GCTGAATTGCTGTTCTTGCTATTGTCACTTGTATTGTTTCACAGTTGTTTTAGTAAATAGTGGGAAATTTTTAAATGATGTCTCTATTTGTTGCTTGTTGCCTGGCAGATGCCTAGTTTGAACTACTATATCGTGACTGATCCATCTCCACAGCAGTTATGCAGCCGGATCTTGGTTTTTGTTCTTCGGTTTCAATTTATCTGTGCAATGTTGTCTTGTCATGCCCCTTCATTCCACTCCCCCCTTTATCACATGTATGCATTACACATGGCGCTGTAATCATAGCCGCTGTTATTTCCTTTTTTTGTTTTTGTTTTTGAGTGTGCATTTTCCATGATGTTTCTACACTTCAATTGTCACGTAGATCCAATTTTGCTATTTGGCCGTCTATCTTTGTAGATATGATGGAGAAGGTGTCACAGTCAGCAGAGATTAGGTGAGCATGCTGAGGAGTTAATAAGATGTTCTTGTTTGGGTCACCTGTTTGTGCTAATAGACAGATTGTAGGATGATCTTTTCTCCCTTGCGACTCTTGTCATAAGTTTCTCATATACGAAAACTTGGGAGGATTTGTTACACTTGCATGGCTGATCAATCTGGATATTCTTGTAGGCTTTTGGAAATATGTTTTAATGGATTATAATGTCCATCGTTTTGGTGTTGAAGATTGCTTCTCTCTACCTTTTTGTTCCCAGTTACGAAGTTGGTTATTTGCTCTTTATGAATGAGTTAATCAGGCAACCCAATAAGCTAAAGTACAATTTGTGTGTAAAGAACAATTGATGACAGGTTCCCAGTTTGTGGGCAAAAATATTTGGGTTTTTCTCAGCGCATGATTGACCTGAGAGCTCGGGTTTTGTAATAGTTGACAACGTTGGACAGTTGCCGGCTGCGACAACTGGTTGGGTTACCTTTGCAAGTGTTTGTAATGATGAGAAAAGATCTTGCTGACATGTTGAAATCTTGACTGGGATTTTAGCGTAATGGAAACATGTCAATGTTCGTACCAGAAACTAAGATTAATCGATGCCCTTCTTGTTTTACTCATGTTTTCTTAGATTGTGTTAATTTCTGACTAGATATCCTTAGCTCCCCATGGTGAGGGGCAAAGGAGACACGGTCAAACAATTCATACAAACAACAACATCGTTGAGCAGCTCGCTCCTAACAAATTGATGCTGAGCCTATGAAATATCGTTGACTTTCAATGGGGGCCAAATTTTGAGGCTTTCTTTTCTCATGGGATTTGAGAGATTCTTACCGCGTAAAATATTTTAAGATGAGATATTAATTTAATTATATTTATTAAATTTATATATTAAAATAATTTATTTATTCAATCAAACAATAATAAAAATAAATATATATTGCATTAATTGAATAAAATAAAATAAAAACACTATGCTAGGTTGAACATATTAAAAATATTTAGATAAATTAGAAAAATCTCTTAAAAAATTAAATGCTTAACAAAAAAATAATTATTAATTAAAATAGATTTTAAACAAAATAAAATAGAGAATATATATTAATCTAAATCTAAATAATTTATTTTTTTGAAAAAAAATATAAAAAAATAAAAAATAAAAAAAATAAAAACAAAAAGAAGGTCTTACGCTATTAGGCCTAGCAAACTAGGCCATCCCACCTTGCAAGCCTAGGTAGTTGTGTCGTCCATTTATTAGGTCCCATGCAGTAGCCTACCCATGCAATTGGGTCTTTATTATATTTTTTTAGCATTTCAAGCAAATCACATTTCATCTCCAAATTTTTTTTGAAAAAAAAGAGCATCCGACATGTCACTTAATTTTGCCTTGATTCCAGTCACTGTAATGACTGGACAGTCAAGGCTTAATATTGTTTGATCAACAGATTTTTTTTTAACTAAAATCTCTTAGAAATCATGATAAATTTATATATAGCTTAAAAAATAAAAAAATATTTCAAAAACTAAAATCAATTCGAAATAAAAAATAACCAGAACTTAGATATGTTTTTTCATAAATTTTATAGATAAAAAACACCTAATATAAACTCTTTTTATCAAATAAAATTATTTGAAACAAATATAGAATATTTTAGTGACCTAAATTGATCTCAATAACATCTTTCTTTCTCTATTAAGAAAATTCAACAACCTCTATCTCTCTCTTTCCTTTCTCAACTAAGGACCAAACAAAAACAAAAATAAATTTTTATATCAAAATTAAATTGAAAAAATATTGAGATACCAAAATTATATAATTTGTGTTATTTTTAAAGTGTGAGGACCAAAGTGTATCTTTCCTAAAACTTCTCACACGCTTCCCATGTTTGACGTCCTTTTCATTTTGGTTTATTTTCTTTCAATTTCACCCTTATCTAAGAAATAAAAAATAATTGGTCTTTAGTTAAGATTAAATCATTCAAAATTAAACTTTGATGACCAAAATAAATTATTAAAAAAAACACAATAAATCCATGATGTTTTGTGTGCACGTGAACAATGTTGGCTTTGCAGTGAAAATCACACGTCTTTTAGATTTTTACTTGGAGTATTTATAAATGTAATAGCAGTTGTTTTTTAATGTACTTTTTATTCGAAATGTATCAAAATAATATTTTTATTATATGTCTTTTAGATTTTTACTTGGAGTATTTACAAATGTGATAGCGGTTGTTTTTTAATGTACTTTTTATTCGGAATGTATCAAAATAATATTTTTATTATTATTTTTAAAAAATTATTTTTAATATTAATATATCAAAATGATCTAAAAACATTAAAAAATATTAATTTAAAATAAAAAAAACTAAAAAAAAATTGAAATATTTTTGAAATATAAAAATAAACAAACCTTGTCGTGCTATGTGGTTTTAACCTTTCTTGTTTATCTAATAATTTCTTGTCAAAGTCATTTCCAGCTATTCAAAGTGTAAAAATCGTCCATAACTTCAAAAGCAGAATACAGTATTCATATCATATCGTAGGACACAATATACTTGCTTCCTCGATTCAACTTGATGGGAAGGGCCATACGCTTTAATTTGCCCTATTTATTAATACAATATTTGTCTATGTTGGTGCAACCATGTTTTCTTGTAAAATTAGAATTTTTTTTTTAAATTAATTTTTTTAATTTTTTTAATTTTTTAAAGTTATTTTGATGTGTTGATATTAAAACTAATTTTTTTAAATAAAAAAAATATTATTTTAATATATTTTCAAGTAAAAATACACTTTAAACAATGACATATACTATCTAATAAAATATCTTCATTAAAATATACATAATTAGTCTTTTAATCTTATTTAAGCTTGGTCTAGGGTAATGTTTGAATTTATGGTTATAATTTTTTTAAAGTATTTTTTATATAAAAATATATTAAAATAATTTTAAAATATTAAAAAAAATTAATTTTAAAAAATAATCTTATCAACAGCAACAACAAACACTAACTTACTTCGATGACAAAGCAAAACCTAAATATTAATTTTAAAAAAAATATTTTGATATAAACATATCAAAATAATTTAAAAATATTAAAAAATAATCTGATCGACAGCGAGAACAAACACTGGCTAGCTAGACGACAAAGCAAAACCCCAGTATTAATTTTTTAAAAATTATTTTAATATTAATATACTAAAATAATTAAAAATTATTAAAAAAAATTTATTTAAAAAATAATAATTTAGATATACTAAAATAATTAAAAAAATTTATTTAAAAAATAATAATTTGACTGACAGCAAGGACAAACACCCATTATCTAGATGACAAAGCAAAACCTAGATATTAATTTTCAACCAGGTAACACTCGACACCAAAATAACTTCCACAGTAATGAAGATAAGAAATCAAACATCGTCGAATCAACACCAGAGATGAAATCAAAGTTCAATGCCCTCTATTATAAATTAAGGAAAATTATCTCCAAAACCGTATAAAGCCACGCAAGTGGACTTCTTCTTTTACTTATTTTATGCTAAATTCTAGTGGGGTTTTGTTTCATACCAACCACACATTCTATTCTCATTTGGAGCCCACGTTCATGGCGTGCTACCACAAAAACCAGCCGCTCTTGACTTCAGGAACATTAGGTCCACTCAAAACCACATATTAACTTTCTCGTTCTGGGTATCTTCCATTGCTCCTGTTCATTTCATCTTTCGCTACAATGGCATCCCGTTTATATTCAAAGTGAGAGCAGCTGTGTCAGCATGGAGTATGGACTCTGCCAGTTGATACGTGACAGCTGCTGACCTTTTTTGCTAGGCATGCAACGATATGTGGTGGGAAGGAGAAGGAGCCCATAGTATAGTCTATATATACTACAGGCTCCTTCGGAAATGGATGGTCCTGAATTTTGCAACGTAATGGCCAGACTACCTCCCCTACGTCCCTTTCTGTTCCTCATCGATGACTCCATGAACCTGAGCTGGGTACATGTACATCCATTATGAACTAGATAACTAGGAATCCTATATTACGTTATCTTATAAGGAAAAAGTAAATTTACATGGATCTAAACATTTTTTATGAGAAAAATGGGTTTTCATATCTATTTTTACATGTTTAGTTATATTAAATTTATCTTTAAGAAGTTGTGTCTTCAATTTATCATTTCCTTTCCTTTTCTTAAAGAGAAGTTAGCATGAATGGCCAACTAAGAATTTACAATCCATTATTTTGCATCGAGGTGATCAGTAAATGGATCATCGAGAATACAAGCTTCTGATAATCTTTTCTTCATATAAGCCGGAATGTAACTAACATTTACAATAAAGCATTGAGTTCATAGCCTCAGTCAGCCTCGGTCAAGACTCGAGGCTTGAAATTTACATGGATCAGTGACGAATTCTTTCTTATTTCTCTAGTGTAGAGTAACGTCTTATTGTAACAAAAGTTGTTATAAGAATGGGGGAATGGCAAATCATCTACCATTTCCACTCCTAAATAATTGACAATAGCAAGCTTGCAAGTCGAGAATGTTACGAGGAGCACACAGAAAAACAATGAAGAACAAATAGCAGGAGGTAATATAGCATTAACCATGGAAGCAAATACCATCTCATGTACAAAACCATGAAGACAAACACAACCAGCTACTAAAATAAGCTTCAAAATAAAATGAAATAGTAAATAGTTATGGTTCGAAAACTATATGGTTATTAATTAATCATATGAAAAAGGTTAGTAGGGGCAGAAATCAAAGGCTCTGATCTCTGCTCAATTTGCAGATCCCAAGAATAGCAGCAGACGCGTTTTCTCCATTCGTGACCAAGTCTTTTTGCAGTCTCTTCAGGGAGTCTATGATAGCCGAAGATCTTGACATTGCTTGACCATCTTCTTCAACATGAACGCTTGTTCTTGCTTGCTTCCATGGCCTTGAAGAACTCGAAGAATTCCCTTCCTCGGTGCTCATGCTTCCACCTCTTAAATTATGCGAAGAGGAACATCCAGTTTCATCCTGCATTTATCCACCATGAAATTTATTAACCAAACCCAAAGCTTGTAACCTAAAAAGGAAGAGGAAGAAGACCCAATATTTCCTAAGATCCACAAATTCAATTATTAAAATGTGCCCTCTAAGAACTAACATAAAAAAATGGCAAAGAAATGAAAGAACAAGAAAAAGAGACTTGCATCAGAATCAAGATCAACATTACTGTCTCGCGTCCGTTTCAAAAACCCATTTCTACCAGCACAGGGAATCTCCTCTTCACTGCTAGAAGAACTAGCCACAGGTGGCGCAATTGATGGCGAAGACGATGCAGTAGGACCTGACCATGGCACCACCTGGTTGTCTCCATCTTCCTCCTCGTCATATCCATCACCATCATCATCAGTGTCATCGTCGTCGTCGTCGTCGAATTCTTGAATATTTTCAGACTCGTCAGAATCATTTCCGGCTTCTCGGCTTTCTTGATCACTAGCCATGACGTTCAGATCTTGGAGAGGTTTTTTATTGTTTTTATGGACAGTAAAACAGGATTCACATACAGAAACTGTAGGGGCAAGTTTAGACCCTGAGGATTTCCAGGGAGTTGGAGATTGACACACTTGACAAAGAAGGGTTCTACAATGCTTTGCAACAAGAAAGTTGGCAGAGTGTACTTTCTCATCACAATCCCAACATAAACTAGCTTGGTCTGATTCACAGAACATTCTTGCTGAACTCTCACATAGCTCACACCCTTTCATCCTCTCCTTTTGCTTCTCTATCGATGCCCTTAATGGTTTCTTTTGTTCTGTTGGGTTTGGTGATTTTTTAGGGAAGGGGAAAGGAGTTTTGAGAGAGGAGAGAAAGGGCAGGCGTGCAAGATGTAGTAAATAACGGAAACTACCCTAATTTTTTGCATTTAATTATGGGATATTTTTTTCACTGGGGGCGTTTTGGGAGTTTCATAGGGAATTTAGGGTTGATGTGAGATTATAAATAAAAAAGATCTAGCTGGCTCCTGCTTTAGCAGCATCCACGTAAAGACTTTGCTTTTAATTAGGGTTGGAATTTGCTTTGCCAATGAGGCAAATAAGATGTTTAATCTACTTTAATATATGCCATTTCTCGGAAGAAGCATGTCCACACAACTTCCGCTTCGATATTCAAGTGTGAACTAGACCGGAAGTATAATAAATTAGGCGTTATAATCGCAAGTCTCCCTTGATTCCTAGAAATTGACTATTCAGATCAAAACGCTTGGATTAATTTAGTTTTCAGGAATCATTCCATGTTATATTATTGCATATCGAAATTTGTGATTTTTTTCTTTTTTTTAATAAAATTATCTCAATTTTGTATTTTAAATCGTGAGTTAATTGAATTAATAAAAAATTACTTATGTTTTTTATTTTATTATTTAATTTATTTTGAGACTTGATCTTTATTATTTTTTAATTATTTATTATTTTGATTGTTATTTATTTTATTTGAGATAATTTATAATCCAATTTTATAAATTATCTCAAATAAAATAAATAACATTCAAAATAATAAAGATCAAGTTTAACAAATAAAAAAGTTTAAAAATGATGAAATTAAAAAAATATAATTTTATTAATTATTTCAAATAAAATAAATAACAATTAAAAAAATAAGGATCAAATATAATAGGTAAAAAATTTTAATTAAGAAAATGATAAGATAAAAATAAATAAAAATTATAAAATAAGGGTCAAAGTTGATATAAAAATAAAATTAAATTAAATTTCAAAAGATGAAATAAAAAAATTCAAAATAAAATATATAGTAATCAAAAGTTTGAGAATCAATTTTGATATAATCATCAAATAATATTAAAATTTTAAATTTTTCATAACTTTTAAAAAGTATTTTTCATCTAAAATAAAAAAAATACTTTTCTAGAAATCAAACTATTTTTTTTTATTAATTAATTTTTTTAATGACAAATAAACACATGAAAATTCAAAAAATAATTTTTAAAAAATTAAAAAAACTATACTTAAACTTCAATTTATTTCTTTACAAAGCTATTCTTTTATTCTAAAACATTAAAAAAACTATACTTAAACTTCATTTTATTTCTTTACAAAGCTATTCTTTTATTGAAAAATTTTAATAATATTTAGAGAATATTTTTTTATTAGTCATGTTTTTTTACATATTATTATATTATCTAAGCTCGTTGAATTCATTGAATCAGAATCCTAATTTTCTTTGAATTTTGTTTATATATTATAAAATAAATTTGACATGCTCAACGATGTACAAGGAGGCACACGTCTAGAATAGGAATGATGCTCGCACCTTAGTCTTAAATTACTGATATAATTATATCAAGCCTACTTGCGTGCCACGTGTCACAAGAATTACGGAGCTAAACTATAGCTTGGTTTTGCAGGGGCAATTAACAACGAGAATTAAAATTCTAGTTTAGTCCCCCGAGATATTTTTCTGGTTTAAGGATGAGACACTGTGGGGCCGGCAGATTCCAATCTATCCTACGTGGACAAACCTGGTCCATGATAACTACTAACCCACGTGATGCCCACCTGCCCTTTTCATATGCTACGGCCTAAGTTTCATGTGGACCCATAGTCTGTTCATCCAATCCCTCTACATTTCTCATCGGACATCCTATTTTATATTTCTTTCCACTTCTTCCCTCCCTCCCCCTTTGTTTTCCCGTCCTCGAAGAATAACACTATTTTCAAAAATATTTTTTATTATTACGATATTCTCACTAATAAAAAAATAAATTATAATATTTTTTTTTGTTTACTCCCTATTTTGTCACTGACTAGTTTATTAACACATTTTCTTCATTGAAAAAAACTTGATGGTAACCCTATTTGCTTCTAGAAGATGAGATTCATCGGCATGATATCAAATTATTATATATAGTGAGTTATTTATAACCAAATCAACTTCTTATAAGAACTTGAGATCAAAAAATTTATTTTCTTTATGGTTTTAGGTTTGAATTTTTTATTACTCATATGATAGTTAATAGAGGTTTATATAATTATTAATTTCAAAATTTATAACATTAATCATAATATACATGACTCGGACACTTACAAAGAAAACTCCCCGACGTCCACCTTATGTTAATAATTTATTAAGATATCAAATTGTTATATATACAGGGAGTCATTTATAGCCCAGTCAACTTCTTGATGTAAATTATTTAAGTAGCGGTAAAATGATAAGAACTTAAAATTAAAAGATTTATTTTTTTTGTAGTTTTAGATTTGAGTCTTTGGTTACTTATATGATGATTACTGAAAATTTATATGATCGTTAACTTTAAAACTCATAAAATTAATCATAATATATACAAGCTAACCCGAACACTTACACTAATCTAAAAAAACTCCTCGACGTCCACCTTATGTTAATAATTTATTTGTTTTGATATTATAAGGAAGTGCAGAGGGCCAAGAAATGTATGGGCAGGAAGTGATCTTATTAATTATGGGGCGTGGTTGATGGTCGTGGCACAACCATGACCACGTCTTATGCAATGTGATAAACTCTTTCCTATTTATTAGCTTTTTTTAATTAAATAAAAATAAATTATAAAAACCTCAAAAAATGAAATTGCAAGAAATATCTAATAGCAAGGCCAAAGATACCATAAAACCTCAAGTTAATATTAATAGAGAGATCCTTTCCTCTACTCAGAAGACCATCAATATTTTACCAATATAATTTTTATAAAAACAAGAATATAAATTCAATTCTCAAAAACTATATTTATTAAAAAAAATAATCACGAACTCCAAACAAAACTAATCTTATTTTTTTAAAACAAATATAAAGATATTCAGGTTAATATAAAAAATTATTAATATTTTGAGTATAAAGAAAGATTCTTAAATTTTTATATAGTTATTGTAATTATGTAATACTTCAAAAGATTATTGTAATTTATTAAAAAATTATGAGATTATGTTGACATGGAAATAACCCATATGAAATATCTAACGTGATATACAGTAGTGAGAAAATTGAGATTTTTTTTTTTTATCTTTTTGCTTACTTGCAGTTTTAAGTTGGCATGGAGTTTGTAGTTGGGTTTAGATATGTTTTAAAAATATATTTATTTTGAAAATATATTAATTTGATATTTTTTTTTTGAAATGTATTGAAATATTGATTATAATCTTATAATATTTCAAGGGATTATTGAGAATTATTATTATATATGAAAAAAGATCTTGTAAGATTATGTTGACATGGCAAAAATCCAACGTGGCAGAAGGTGGAGCGAGTGAAATCTATATCTGTTTGCTTACTTGCAGCCACTAGGAGGGGAATGTCAAATGTGTGGAGGAGAAAGAAAGGATTTAGGGTTCTCTGTATGGAGACATTTTTTATTTTGAGGAGTAGGGAGAAGAAGGTGAGGTTCTAGAGATGTTCGGTCATCTGTGAGCCCCACGCAGCAGCCCTCATTCAAATGTGTCCGTCAAAACTATAGCAGAAGGAATAAGTGGGGGAGGAGCGAGGAGGAATCATATATATGATCAATAAAATTAATTAAGTTAGGTCATGATTTTACTTACCATTAGAAATTTAGAAGGGTTCTCACCAACCACTTCTTAAGTTTGGATAGGTAAAACCACCATTAATGGTTAGTGATAATCAATTTATATATATATAACTTTTATTATTATTGTTGTGAGTTCGATACATGTTTATGATATATTTTTTTTTAAATTTTTATATTGGGTTTTTATGAATAAAATGTTTCAAGATTAGGTTTTATATGTATTTTTTTTTAATTTATGATTTCCAAGTATAATTTTTTATATGTTTTTTTGTTTAAATAATTTTCACTTTAAATTGTGTTATTGAATGTCGTTTATGTTTTTTTTAATGACCTCACTATTAAAGAGACTCTATATATGTAAATACTTTTATATATAAATAGTTATCATATTTAAATACATTCCATTATTATATTGTACACAATCCTAAAAGTATAACTATATTGCTCTCTTTACAATTACTACAAATTAATACAAATACTATTTCTTAATTATCTTAACTTGGTATTAGAGCTTTTAGTTATCTTCCAGCAGCCTCCTTCCATAACTAAAAATCTCATCTTTTTTAAAATTTACCAACAGTCATTCTTTATAGTAGAGATCTTCATATTCTCTTTCTGTTACTTCTCATCATATATATCTGCCAACAACCATCCTTCTTAGCATAGATCTTCATCCTTTTTTTCTGTTACTGCTCATTTGCAACGTTCTCTATCTTTGCAAAATGGACAATCAAAAACTATAACAATCTGTTGCCGCTACATTAACGCTTCAATCTTCTTTCTCCCCTATGATGCAATCAGTTATGTACGGTACATCTAATATTGCTACTATTATTCCTCTCCCAAACACACTAGGTAGTCTCTTTAAAACTCTCAAACACCAATTTCATATATTAGAGGATGCATATTAAACCGTTTCTTTTAAGCCAAGACGTGTATTCCTTTGTTAATAGCACATCACCGTGTCCTCCTTCACATCTAGTATCTGTTACGACAAGTGCACTCTTTGTCAACCCTGTACGTGTCCTCCTTCACATCTAGTATCTGTTGCGACAAGTGCACTCTTTGTCAACCCTGTATATTTGTTATGAAAGTAACAAGATCATTTAATCATGAGTGCCCTTTTATCTTCTTTCTCAGTGGAAGTTTTGCATTTAATTGTGGATTATAACACTTCTTATGACACTTGAACAATGATGTAAACAACTTTTGCCTCTCCTTCAAATTCTTGGATTATGCAACTTCATAGCTCATTCCAAGATTGACGACATAATGATGATTCTGCTAGCATCTACTTGTAGAAAGTAAATGCCTTATTTGATGAACTTGCTGCAGTTGGCAGACCAATTTCCTTGGCATAATTCAACTTGTATGTGTTTCGAGGGTTACACAGTAAATTTAAGGATCTTGTCACCAACTTATCCACTAAGAATGATCCCATCTCCTACACTAATCTTCGTAACAGTCTTTTAACACATGAGTTTCTTTACAAAGCCTTTT